CGCGTCCAGCGCCAGCTCCAGACGCGCCCTGGCGACCTCCAGGCAGCGGCCCTTTGCGCGTATTTCTTAGTTCCATCATCCATTACTTGGGCGTCAGTTAACGGGAGACGCCCAGACCCGGCACCGTTTCATGGTGAGGCCATGTGCACAATCGGGCCTTTGCACCTCCAATTTTGCCGAGGCACGGCGCTAACACCTCTTGGCAAGGTGCTGACTGACTGCGCTGACGTAGCAGTTTTGTCACATAACCGTTACGTCAGCGGGCGATGGGGTCGTCACTTCCCTACGCCTTATTATTTATTTTTATTTTTTTTCCCTACGCCTTATTATTTATTATTATTTTTATTTTTTTTCCCTACGCTTTATTATTATTATTATAAGGATAGGTAGATGTCATAATAATTTATTCTAGTAAGTAATTATTGTAATAACGATTTCTTATATTTACGCGAACACTACACATTTAAATAAAACTAATTTTACGGATTTTATCGATGTCGATACGCGATAAAATCCGTAAAATTAGTTTTATTTAAATTATTGTAATATTAACTATATGGGCTTATAATGATTACTTACTATTATTATTACCTAATAGATAAACATGTTCAATAAATTAACTGCAAATCTCAATATTCGGAAATGTGTGTTTTTAAAACACAAAGTGCTCGAATATGTCGTCACCCATTTGATAAATATTGTAGACAATTTTAACACACTTGAAACGTGTAAAAATTTTCTACAATGCTAATCGAATAATATAAAAAGTGTGCATATAAAATAAAAAGCGTGCAATAAGATCTATGTACTGCTTAGGAGCCGAGTATATCTGAGAAAACTGTTTAAAGAAATTGGTATCTTGACTGTTGCATCACAATATATTTTTGCAAATATCATGTATGTATGACAAAATATTTACTTACATGTAAAGAATAGTGATTTGCACAATTTTAATAGAAGAAATAAAATTAAAATCACATTACCTACTTTCCGGTTACACAAAGTATACAATTCATTCTTGGGTAGCGGTGTACGCTTTGTACTCGTATAACAAGAATCTAAAAGAAATGTTAGATCTTTCATCTTTTCAATTTAAATCGCGCATTAAAGCTTGTTTAGCCAAAAAAAAACATATTATTCTGTAAATGATTATCTTCTTAATGATAAAAATGTTTGGAAATGTTTCGTACTACACAGGACTAACTAGAAATTTGTATACCGATTTGGTATCTACATATCATACATTTGACATTGTATGTTTGACTTATCGCTTTAGATAATTATAGTACTCTTGTAAAAAATATTTTGAAAAGAGCAACTACTCAGTTTCTTACTTTCTTCCATGATTATTCTCAGTACAATCAGCACCCCTGAACATGGAAAAGAAAAAAATTGGGGAGAACACTGACTATGACTATTCAAAAGTATATTTATAATGCCTACGTGAATAAAAAATATTTAAATTTTGAATTTCGAATGAGTGAAGTCACATTCGCGCATTTTGTGTTTTAAAATCACACACTTCCAAACATTGATTGGCAGTGTCGGTTTATTAACTTCTATCGTACTCTAGTAGTTAAAAAGTAAGATAAATAAAGCAAGTAACGTACCTTGGCAAATTTAATTTAATTAACGCAATATAAGGTAACAGTAATGTCGAAGCTATTGTAGGTATACTGTTATGTAATTTAATTTGTATTGTATTTTATTTTTTATTTTAATAAATGGTAAATTGTATTAATTGTATAATTCTGTTATTCCATTTCATATAAGATGAGGGCCTATCAAGCTCTTTCTACAGAGATAATGTTCTTTAAAATACAATCAAGTTAATGTCATTAATTCGTTTTTACAAGTTTTAACCATGTTTTAGCACATGTAAGCTCTTATTAAATGTAAACGTTTATTAAGAAACAGATTGACACCCTTCGCTGTGGGACACGGTAGATAGCTCAGTTGGTTAGAGCATCGGCACGGATCGCTTAGGTCGTGGATTGAAACCCCACCCGGTGTCAGTTGAGTTTTCGAATTTCTCATTAAATATTTAGACATTTAATAATTTGGTTGGTCTTTACTATGGCTATGTTAATTCAAGCTCAATATGTACCTACTCTATTAAGTTGTTCTAAGATCTAAAGTAACGTTTAATAAATATCAATAGGCTAATAGGTAATTGCGAGACTTGCGAGACTCTTGCTGCAAGATCAAGAGCAAGACCAAGACTGGGAGTGCAATACCAAGACCAGGTGTATTGGCGCAAGACCATGGCCAAGACTGGCTAGGTCTCGTCTTGTTCTTGCATTTGGCAACACTATTAGCTACCGTGTGAAAATCTTTGTTTCAAGGAATCTGTGATAGAAAACATCAAGAAGACCAACAACAAGCTTCGTCTTACGTCTACGTCACAAAAACCGAGTGAAGCCGGCCACAGTCGAGCGTGTGCCTACTGTACTACCATACGTCATAGGAGTCACAGATAAGATTGGCTACATCTTGAAGCGAGATCCCATTAAAACCTACTACAAGTCGCCGAAGAAGATTTTTACCATCCGTCAAGTGTCATATCCCTCTACACGATGCAGGAGTGTACAAGCTGGATTGTGAATGTGGTCTCTCTTACATAGAACAAACGAAAAGATCTATAAAAACCCGCGTAAAATAACACATAGAACATATAGAAAAGAACATAATATATTTTTTAACTTTTTGCACTTTGCACCCACAATATCTTCTCTGCACTCTCTTCTTTAGCTCTTTGCACATTGCACCCACAATATCTTCTCTGATTAGTCTGGAAGTAGACTGATAGAGAATGCCCTGTTGCATTATATCCGTTTTTTGTACTTGGTGTGCAAAAAAGCATAAATAAATAAATACAAGATATCTCCAAAATATATTATAACCTGCTCAAGACATGATCATAGTGCACGAATGTGTGCGCAAACATAGGTATGGTATAACCATTCCCTTGCTCTCAGCCTGATGGGCCTGTAATCTAACGAGAGAGATTATGTCAAGGACCAATGGTTATATATGCACCGCCATCTCCCTGACTCTGGGATACTACTGAGAATTTCTTCACAGAAAAACTCAATCATTAATTCTTGTCTGACCCGGAACTCGAACTCAGGACCCATGATTAGCAGTCGTGCTTACGACCACAAGACAACAAGGGAATCGCCAAAACATATTAATATGATGTGATGAAGTACATACTTACATATATCTATCCTTATTTATAACGCTCATTAGCTTAGTAACCCTCACTCGTAACACTCCTTTTCTGCTCTTCTGCTGTTACACCTACAGCGAGGTAACAAGATGTGACGGTAATGATGTTGCGAAAGACACGAAATAGTCTTTCTATTTTAAACTGAAAATGGTTGGAACTGTTTTAAAGGAAGGAAAATTAAACAATATATTAATAACAAAACTGTATATTCTAACAAATGTTCATATACAAATAAATTAAGACTAGCAAACAATACTGTTGCATTAAAATCTAATAAATGCAAATTCCTAATAAATTATTGTAAATCAACTATTTCAATAAGGTTATTGTAATGTAAGGTTTATTGTAAATGAAAATCGTTTGTTACAAAGTTGTCTTCATATCGTTTGGTAACAAATATTTGCAATAATTTGTTTGTTCATTTAAAACGCTTATAATAAATTATTTTTATTGAATAATTAAGTAATTTCTGATTGAGTACCATATCAATTAACATCAGATTTTTTTCTTACTTTGCACAGTTTAATGAATCTGAGATCGAGATTTAGGACGCCATTGTAATTCTTAATTAGTTCGTGGTTCCGTAAATAGGATCTAGCTTCTAACGGCGTTGTTCATAAAAAGTTATTAAAATTAAAAAATAATAATAAAACGTCACAAGGAGATATTAAATACTGTCGTGGAATTTGCGGACCTTCCGGCAATTCTAGAATTCTATTTTAAAAAATGCCACTCATGTAAGACGTGGTCTAAGGGAAAATCTAACGTTTTTTTTTTAAGTGGTAACCATTCGGTAAAGCCTCAGTAGAGAGCGAAAGCAAACACTTGCTCTTGCTTCTTGCATTGGATAAAACACCCAGCGGACTAAAAGATGACATGTGTAAGACTTCACAGAGGTGGTCGCCTTACAAATGGGTGATGTAGTTATTGAACGTTTTATAACTATTTTAGGAATTTAATAAATAAATCCATCACAGTATAAATTTTTGGTCAAAACTTGATTGTACATAATAAACCGTTACCATTAATGTTTAATGTGGAAAATATTATTGTGTAAAATTTGTTAAAATTGTTTTACCTATTAAAACATTTTTTTTTCTATAAAATAGACAACAAACTTTTTCGTTACTTAATTAAAGTACAACCCGTATTCTGTGTCATATCTCAGTAATTTATTTCGTTTGTTTATGTAATTACTCGTTTGAAGATATATTTCAGCTTTTTTGTATCTGATATTATTGAAAGAGTCAACATTACATAACTACAATGAGGTTTTTAGGTTAGTCCCAAAGATATTTTATAGGTCGTTAGTCCAAAGGGTATTAGACAAAACAGTAATCCTAAATACGTCATTTACTGTGTGTGAATTCTATACAACCTTTACGTATAGAAAGGTATAAGGCAGACATAAGATTGGAAGAACTAATCCTATGTCTGCATTTTGCACGTCTCTCTGAATGTAAGTGTGTGGATATAAAAGTAAGTTCCTGTGTATATGCGTGCCCGTGTATAGTATGCTCATGTGTGCTAATTTGCTATTGAGTTAGGTGCTGTACACTACTAGTCGTGCCCGTGGGTTGTATGTCCATGTGTTATAGTGTGTGTGTTGTGTCTACACTTGTTCGCGTTTCGTATATCAATGGGCTATTGTGTGCGTATTGCATCTACGCGTGGTCATGTGCATTTGCATGGTGCGCCTGGTGGAACGTTTTGTGTATATGCGTGCCAGTGTGTCGTATGTCCATGAGTTATTGTGTGGGTGTCGTGACTACGTGTGCTCGTGTTTTGTATGTCCATGAGTTATTGTATTCGTGTCATGCCTGCGCGAGGTCGCTACGTCTGCATGGTGCGCCTGGTGTGTACGTGTTGTGTCTGCGCTGGGTCCGCGTGTCGCATGTCCATGCGTAGCTGCGTGCGTGTGTGTGTGCGCGCGCGTGTGCGCAGGGCGCGTCCAGCGGCGGTGTGCGGTGTCGAACGCCTCGTGCACTACTCGCACACGCTCCAGTAACTCTTCTGTTGGTGACATCTCTCGCTACAACAAACATTCCATCAGTATTATCATCTTCGAACGCAAAGATTTGTGACAAGCCATTGTGCTTTCACGTCATTGCGTGGCGTGCCCGCTGAGCTCTGTGTACCGTTTTGTAACACGACAAGCACAGATTACTATATGCACTTCAAGCACACATAACTCTGTGCACTGCAAGCACAGATTACTATGCGCACTACAAGTACGAATTACTTTATGTTTTTTTATAAGATAAGGGTAACAAACGAGCACACAGTCCACCTGATGATAAGTGGTTGCTGTGGCCCATAGACATCTACATCTATCCTCAACTACGAATCAAAATGCAGATGCGTTGTCACCCGTGAGGACTAAGTTGGAATGCCTCGCTTCCAGTAAATAGGGTGAGTCTCCGGTTCTCTACACTCGCCATACGAAACACAGCAGCGTTGAGATGCTATTTTACGCTGGTATTCTGTGAGAGCGTGGTCCTTCCTCGGTCGAGCCGACTCATTCTGCTACAGTTATACTAATAATATAGCTGCAGCATGACTCTACCACGTATAGAATGTACTGCAACTACGTACCGAGTGATCCCGCTCAGGTCGTGTACTGCGCAGGTGCGTACCGCTGTCCGCCCGCTGCAATCCCGCCAAGTGCTGTGCGCAGTCACACTGCAACAACGGTAACAGAACTCTTTGAAAAACACAACGCTTTCGGCCTTACTCAAAAAATCTATGTCAATTTAAAAACTGCTTAAATTTGAGATAGCAAATGACTATAGAAAAGATCATACTTTATATATGAAAACTATAGTCAACGATTATGAGTTAGTATATTTATAGGTAGAGCATTCGCAGTTACATAGTGCTAGAACAACCCGAGTTTGATCGCCGCCGCCACCTATGAAATGGTTTCTTGTAATTTTAAGTGAAAAAAACAACGTGAAGTAACCTGTCATTCATCATTCATTCCTTACAGCCCATAAAAAGTCCACAGCTGGGTAACCACCAATCGCGAAGTAAGCCACTTTATAGTGTCATAAGGAATAAATTCGAGGGCATGTGCAATTCGCCAACTCATACTCCCCAAGGCTCATAAGCATATATTCAGCAGTCTCTCATTAGATTTTAACCAAGCAATTGTAAGCTTTTACTGATTAATAATTAGTGCTTAATATGTCCGGAGGTTGACTGACGGTTTTTATTCGCTTTACAATATGATATTAGTGCCTGTCATTGACTTTTCAACAAAAAAAAAAAAACAAATAATAAATTATTAAAGGAACATTTTTCGTGAGCTTTTAATTTTTAACAAAAAGAAAGTGATTCAGTACTTTCATGTTTCTATTATAGCCAATAACAATTGGCCAATAAACAGAATTATCTTTGAAAATATTACAAAATTGACAAACACATTAAATTATTTTTTATAAGCCGGTTGAAAGCACTGCTTGTTGAAACTAAGAATTGCATAAATTTGAGGAGTTTGGAGGACACCTGTACCTATTTACTTTGTAGTCACTCTTTCACTTTAAAACAAAATATAAGATTTACTTACGCCGTTATTATAAAATGATTTCTTTTTTCTAAGAAGCCTTCTTGGCGGTTTTGGAGGAACCGAGCAGCTATTTATCTCGCTTTCACTTGTGAGTTCCAGTTCTCTTGTTCTTTCTCGCATCATATGTCTGTACTCTGAACAGCTACCAGTTTGGCTACCTGTATCATCTCTTGTTTTTCGATTCATTAGAGTACACTTTAGACAATCGGCTATGTCGTTGGTGGTCGAGATCGCACAATCGTTCCTTCTCCTAGTTTCCTCTCGAGGAATGTATCTGGAGCAGCAAGGCTCATTATCACTTGCACTATTATGTCTCCTGTCTGATGACTGTTGCAATGTGCGGATCATTACTTCTTGTGCTTTTATCTTCTCTTCTTGTTCTCTGAAAGAAATAAAATTTATCTTTTCTTCTATCCTATCACCGACCCACAAATTATGAAGATCGAAGCAAAATAGGGTGTAAAATATGAATCACTTATAGATGTAAAATTTTTGCGGCTACCAATACCATAGGATAGACTCGCATGTAGCAGTGGACTGCCTCCAAGGTGGTAAGGAAACAGAAAGTTCATACATTTCTCAATTTTTATGGCTTTATTCAAACTTTTCTGGTTGATCCATTTAGGAACATCAATTTAAAGTTTCCTCTTGCCTCGTTTATTCCTTTCAGCTTATCAAATTCCACTAAACATAGGCCTACCCATAGGTAGCCTTATAAGGGGGCTATTTGCCATAGCTGCCACGCTTGGAAGGCGGGTTGGCAACCGCATTTTTTATTTTATATTTGTTATTAAGATGACGCTGCTTCCCATCTCTTTTTCTCTATCGTCTTCTACGACTCCTATGGAACGATAATGGACAGAAGTAGCTCTTACATCGCCACTACACGGTAAACGTAGTACGATCTCTGTGATTCAATAAATAAATTTAAAAATAAAACAGATAATTATGGTTATGGGTTGTAACTTCCATTTTAGATAGAAAATTGCTATGAAATGATATTACAATGATAATGGAAACTACCGCTTGAATGCGCGCATATGAATGCCAGTAATGCACTAATAGATGAGTATTGCACATAATAGTGCTATGCTTTATTAAAGTATAAGTTATTTATTACTTTTATTATTTTCTTTTTATTGCCGTGTAGTGGCGGTCAAGAATATCCACTACCCCATATCCTCCCGTGGGTGTCGTAAAAGGCGACAAAGGGAAACAGGCAGGAGATGGGCAGCAGCATCTTCTTGATAACAATAAACTAACAATAAAAAAAACAGCGGTTGCCAACCCGCTCGCCAAGCGTGGCAACTATGGCAAATACCCCCCTATGAATGACAGTAACAAAGAAACGGCCCCCAGTCCCCGGCGGCCCCGCTATTCCTGGCTACGGTGGCGACCATGGTAACGGCGGGGCAGGGGGTGCTAAGAATCTCCGGTGGAGGTTCGGTTGCCACCTTAGACGACTCGACCTGACAACGTACAACGCACGCACCCTGAGGACTGACGAGAAGATCGTGGAGCTGGAAGAAGAGATAGACAAGTTGCGCTGGCATATTATAGGATTATCCGAAGTCCGAAGAGAGGGGGAGGCCACGGTAATCCTCGAATCCGGCAACTTGCTCTATCACCGGGAGGCCGACCATCTGTCCCAAGGAGGTGTCGGATTTATCGTCCACAAGTCTCTCGTTAACAACGTTGTAAAGATCGGGAGTGTGTCGACGAGGGTTGCGTACCTTATACTTAGAATCACCAAACAGTATTCGCTGAAGGTCATACAGGTTTACGCACCAACCTGGGCACACCCCGATGGTTCCCCAACCCAAGGGGCCAGCAGCTGGCCGACTTCATGGAGAAAGAGGGACTCTTTATGATGAACTCTTTCTTCCAGAAGCGGCCCCACAGGAAGTGGACCTGGTCGAGCCCCGACGGTTCGACAAAAAATGAGATTGACTTCATTATGACGACCAGACGACAACTGTTCAGTGATGTCTCCGTGATCGCGAGGGTGAAAACTGGTAGAGATCACCGAATGGTTAGAGGCACACTGAACCTAAACGTTAAGTTGGAGAGGTATCGTCTAATGAAGTCAACGCTCCGTCCCCCTCGTGCTGTGTTCCAAAGTCCCGAAACCTTTCAGCTCGAGTTACAAAACCGTTTTCAGTGCCTAGAAGACTGCAATGAAGTGGACGATATGAATGACAAGCTCGTGGAAACTGTCCATGCGGTCGGAACTAAGTTCTACAAGACCCGCCGCAGAAGAACACAAAAACTCTCCGATCACACTCTTAATCTCATGGCTGTTAGACGGGAGATGAAGCTACATTCTTCAACAGACTTGACAGCATACAGGCATCTGAACAGACAGATCTCCAAATGCATGCGGCGCGACTTACGCAACTTCAATACAGCTCGTATTGAAGAAGCGATCGAGCGGAACCAAGGCTCCAAAGTCTTTGCCAGAGATCTGTCTGCCAGAAAGAGCCAACTGTCAAAGCTGAAGACAGAGTGTGGCAGCATCGTTTCCGGGACACCTGAGATTTTGAGTGAGATTGAGAGGTTCTATGGGCAATTGTACACGTCATCGTTGGAGCCACACGCAAGTGTGAGTAACGATCCAAGAGCGAGTCTCATCCGACATTATTCCGATGATATCCCGGACGTCAGTCTGAGCGAGATTAGAATGGCTCTCCAGCACCTTAAAAACGGTAAGGCCCCAGGCGAGGATGGAATTACAGCTGAGCTTCTGAAAGCGGGTGGAAAACCGGTACTTGAAGTCCTTCAGAAGCTCTTTAATTCCGTCCTCCATGGTGGCATTACACCGGAGGCGTGGAGTAGAAGTGCGGTGGTCTTGTTCTTCAAGAAAGGTGACAACGCTCTCTTGAAGAACTACAGACCGATTTCCCTTCTGAGCCGGGTCTACGTGCTGTTTTCGAGAGTCATTACGAATCGTCTCGCGCGCAGACTTGACGACTTCCAGCCTCCCTAACAAGCCGGTTTCCGAAAGGGCTTTAGCACCATAGACCACATACATACCCTTCGGCAAATTGTACAGAAGTCCGAGGAGTACAATTTGCCACTATGTCTGGCGTATGTGGACTATGAGAAAGCCTTTGATTCCGTCGAAATTTGGGCGGTGCTGCAGTCCCTTCAGCGATGCCAAGTTGACTGTCGGTATATCGAAGTGTTGAAGTGCTTGTACAGTAGGACTACGATGGCTATCCGAGTACAGAACCAGAGTACGAAACCTATCCAATTGCAGAGAGGTGTAAGACAGGGTGACGTCATATCCCCGAAACTCTTTACCGCTGCATTGGAAGATGTTTTCAAGCTTCTGGACTGGAAAGGATACGGTATCAACATCAATGGCGAGTACATCACTCACCTTCGATTTGCCGACGATATAGTCCTTATGGCAGAATCGCTGGAGGACCTAAGCACTATGCTCAATGACCTCAATAGTGTTTCCCAACGGATAGGTCTTAAGATGAACATGGACAAAACAAAGATCATGTTTAATGTCCATGTCACACCTATGCCGGTAGTTATTGGGAACACTAAGCTCGAAGTTGTTGACGAGTATGTTTACCTGGGACAAATAGTCCGACTAGGTAAGTCCAACTTCGACCGAGAGGTCAATCGACGGATTCAACTCGGTTGGGCAGCGTTCGGGAAGCTACGACACATCTTCTCGTCAGACATACCTCAAAACCTTAAAACGAAATTGTACAACCAGTGCGTGTTGCCAGTGATGACTTACGGAACTGAGACGTGGTCCTTCACTGCTGGCCGTATGAGAAAGCTCAAGGTCGCTCAGCGAGCTATGGAGAGGGCTATGCTCGGAGTTTCTCTGCGTGATAAACTTAGGAATGAGGATATCTGCAGTAGAACCAGAGTAACCGACATAGCCCAACGGATTAGTAAGCTGAAGTGGCAGTGGGCCGGCCATATAGCTCGAAGAACCGACAACCGATGGGGAAGAAAGGTTCTCGAGTGGCGGCCTCGTACCGGTAGGCGAAGTGTAGGGCGTCCCCCCACGAGATGGAGTGACGACTTGGTAAGACATGCAGGAAGTCGATGGATGCAGGTGGCTCAGGACCGTGCTTTGTGGCATTCTTTGGGGGAGGCCTATGTTCAGCAGTGGACTTGTGAAGGGCTGTAATGATGATAATGATGATGACTTTTATTAAGTTAACTAAAGGAAATATATACAGTTACTGTGAAATATGTAAGTTATCTCGTGCAATGGCTCCAGCACAAACGTGAAGCTGGTTGGCTAAACCAAAGTTCATAATCATTACTGCAGCACGTTGCATAGCACTTAAATACCAGCGTGAGTCAATAGCGCAATGCTGTTGTGTTTCGTATGGTGTGTTTCGTACGTTCAGCCTCACATTTTATACTGTTCTCATATCTAGACCGGAGTTCTCAAGTAATAGCTAACGCTGCCAAGATATATTACACCTTGAACCAATTCCAGCCGCACGATTTCACCACCGCACGTCAGGACAAAATTCACAATACCATGCATACTATTGATTACTGCGATTTACCAGAAGTTTTATTCCACACATGACTTCTTATTGAAACGACTCAGGGAACTTTAAGTCAAAGGATCCTACACTTTTTAAAAGACAGGCAACATACCTGCAATTACCATGGTGTTGCAGTTGTTCCTGGGCTGTAGTAGCCACTTACCAATACGTAGACTACAAGTTCGTTTGTCATTACAATTTCATTAAAAAAATCGAGTTGAACGCAAAAAGGGAATATTAAAGGTCGGCATTATTTTATGCGGCGTGATGATGGCTGACAGAAATCCAAAAATTCAGCCTTGGCGAGGGACCGGAATGCACGCATTCCCAATAAAGAGGGCCTTGTTTCTCGCAAACTCTGCTACTGTTTTCTAACTTTTCTTTGGCAATAACTCTTTTGAAGGACCTAGCTGGAATTATACGTCTTTTTAAGGGCGTTAATATTTATAGCACGGGGTGCCGAAAATACTCCTGCTTATTGCGTAATGTAGTTTTATGGGAGTTAAGGTTACTCACAAGGTTATACACAAAAACATTGTGGGATCATCCGGCGAGAAGCAAACCAGCCTACATGGGTAGAATGTAAAAAAAAACAGCATCCCAGTCTTAATCTGCTGACCAACGGTACGAAACCGCAATGGTAGCGTGAGTGGCTCCGTACTCTGGTATAAACAATAGCTCGAAGTGTCGAGAGGGGCATAGTCGGAGACCTAACAACCAGTTGTGTCTACATTTTAAGGCAAAGTCGTAGACGTGGGGATGGCCATCGCTATCTACATACAGCGTAGGAATAGATAGGTTCATAATCAACTTGACAACCGTGTGTGGAGGTGAGAACATCTGCGTTGTGTTAAGAAAGAGCAAGGTTTCGCCATCTACAGATGGCATTTGAAGAGCGTGCCAGAAGGCGATGTGGTGTTGTTGTTATATTTGTCCCGAGTAGTGTGCGTATAAAATAGAATTAATGTTAAATATGAATTACAAGGATACTTATTGAAAGCCATTTTTTTATTTTCACCATTGATTCGCAAACAACCTCTGTTTTGGGAAGAACAAGCAAATAATCCAACAGAATTTACCCTACTTCCCATCATTTAAATACGCAGGGCGATTTAATTGTTATTTTATATTGTCGTGTGTACAGGGCTATTACTAAAGAAAAAAGCGTGTAAAGGTGTGCGTACCGCAGGCGGCTGCGTTGTCGCGTGAGGCCGGCGCGCAGCTCGAACGCGAGGCGGCGCGCGCTCGCGCACAGCAACGCGCCGCGCCGCCGCGCCTCCGCCAGCTCGCCGCGCAGCCGGCCCGCACACCGCGCCTCCTCCCTGACACACACATCACTCATCATCTGCCACATGTACCACGCGAGCGACACACGCACGCGCCGCGCCTCCGCCAGCTCGCCGCGCAGCCGGCCCGCACACCGCGCCTCCTCCCTGACACACACATCACTCATCATCTGCCACATGTACCACGCGAGCGACACACGCACGCGCCGCGCCTCCGCCAGCTCGCCGCGCAGCCGGCCCGCACACCGCGCCTCCTCCCTGACACACACATCACTCATCATCTGCCACATGTACCACGCGAGCGACACACGCACGCGCCGCGCCTCCGCCAGCTCGCTGCGCAGCCGGCCCGCACACCGCGCCTCCTCCCTGACACACACATCACTCATCATCTGCCACATGTACCACGCGAGCGACACACGCACGCGCCGCGCCTCCGCCAGCTCGCCGCGCAGCCGGCCCGCACACCGCGCCTCCTCCCTGACACACACATCACTCATCATCTGCCACATGTACCACGCGAGCGACACACGCACGCGCCGCGCCTCCGCCAGCTCGCCGCGCAGCCGGCCCGCACACCGCGCCTCTTCCCTGACACACACATCACTCATCATCTGCCACATGTACCACGCGAGCGACACACGCACGCGCCGCGCCTCCGCCAGCTCGCCGCGCAGCCGGCCCGCACACCGCGCCTCCTCCCTGACACACACATCACTCATCATCTGCCACATGTACCACGCGAGCGACACACGCACGCGCCGCGCCTCCGCCAGCTCGCCGCGCAGCCGGCCCGCACACCGCGCCTCCTCCCTGACACACACATCACTCATCATCTGCCACATGTACCACGCGAGCGACACACGCACGCGCCGCGCTTCCGCCAGCTCGCCGCGCAGCCGGCCCGCACACCGCGCCTCCTCCCTGACACACACATCACTCATCATCTGCCACATGTACCACGCGAGCGACACACGCACGCGCCGCGCCTCCGCCAGCTCGCCGCGCAGCCGGCCCGCACACCGCGACTCCTCCCAGACACACACATCACTCATCATCTGCCACATGTGCCATGCGAGGCGACGCGTCCCGCACACTGCTCCTTCTCCCTGACACACACAACAGTCTTCGTCTACCGCATGTACCACGAGGAGCATTAAGTTTGTAACGTGGTTGGTTAAATGAGATACAATACATTGGATTATATATGATATGTCCAAAAACTTGTACAAAGGTTGTCGTTAAAACTAAAGCGAGCGTTCACTTGCCACGATGCCCCCTCTCCTCGAGCCCCGCGCCTCGGTTGTCTTGAGCATTTTCTATCGAGTTGTTGAGTTGAACAACTCGATAGAAAATGCTCAGAAGAATTGTCTGAATAATTTCAGCTCAGCAGATATAAGCAGACAGCCTAGTTATCACAGCAGCACCAGTAGGCAGTGTAGGGCGGCCCCTCACTTGATGGAATGACGCCCTGGTAAGACATGCAAGAAATGGATGGATGCAGTTGGCTCAGGACCGTGCTTGTGATATTCTTTGGGAGAGACCTATGTTCAGCAGTGGAATTGTGAAGGCTGTAATAAACAAACAAATAAATGAATTATCAAATTCTAGCTTCTGAATTCCACCATCATACAAAGCCACAGAACTCGAAACTCCAGCCTCATCAACTCGAGGACTGATAGTCCATTACCGTGCTATTGTTTTTGCAATGCAATTGCTCTGTTGTTGCAGACATTCATGGGCGGTGTTTACCTACCATCAGGTGAATCGTATACTGATTGGCGTCCTCTTCCATAAAAAAAATTATTACAATCAAGTGAAGGGATTTTGCCATAGTTGCTACGGTTACCAGAATGACGCTGCTTCTCATCTTCTGGTTTATTCCTCCTGTTGCGTCTTTCGTGAGCTACGGTACTTTATGAAGTAATAGATATTCTTACAGAGAAACAAATAAATGTAAATCTATCCACCGAATGTCATTTTGTGGTACCAATCCAAATGGACTATCTGCAGAAAGGTGGTCTCCTACCTAATAGCTAATAGTTGTATCTCTTAAATGCAGGTTACTTATGTCCAAATACTCAAATGCTGCTTAGTTTTAAGATGCTGTCAAGTCTAGTGCTGTCTCTATCACTTTCAGTCGAAGTGACTGTGACACCACGATACTAAACAACATCTTAAAATTGAGTAGAGTTTGAGTTTATGGCCATTAGTAACGTAGTTAGGAGACTCAGAATTCTTGCCATTTCCAATTGTTGATGGTCCACATGATAATATACCATTGTATACATATATTTGTAACAAGTTGTCGTACGCACCGGTACTGCTGCGCGACGCGTGCGCTGTGGGCGCGCGCGGCCTGCAGCTGGGCCTGCAGCTGCTGCAGCTGCTCGCGCCACCTGCACACCTGCTCGCCCAGCTCCCGCACCTCCGAGCGGACACCACGCTCCTAGCATTTCATCAAAATGTTACATAATTTCCGGTCCGATTTCGAGTGTGAGCAGTAGCTCAAGGGCTAAGCGCTTGTCGAAAATATCGTATTACGGGAGTAACCCGTATTTGATCGCCGCCGGTACCAATAAAACACTTAATTGCAGTGGTAAGTGCTGATTTGCCACGTGCTCGGTGTTTGGCAAACATCGTAAGGAAAACTGCCTGTCAAAGAAATAAAATGTACATGTATAACTAAATGTAAATGTACTTCACGGGAATAATATATTTCCTTTAAATTTTACAGGGTCATTTTTAAGTTACTAAAGATCTTTTGGGAATATATTGGCTGCATCGTTACAAACAATTTTGGCGAGATCACTCTTTACAGAATAATACATTTACGTAAAAACTACTCTGAAGTTTTTGGTTGTCATATCGGACTCCTTTTAAGTCTGTATTTTGTAGTACCTAAAAAATTTCGGAATAAATCGTCAAAGAAAATGCCTTTTTTATTTTACACTTGATAATCAGTATCACACATTGTGTTGAAATCAAAGGTCTTCAGTAAATTAAAAATGAGCCTGTATAAAGTAAATATAATATTATTCGCATGAAGTATTCAATAATGACATTATTTTTTGTAAAAGTATAGCTGTCAAGCGAGCATACAGTCAACCAATAATACGATGGTATGGCATAGCAATAATGGATGCTGTGGTAAATAGACATTAGCGCAGAGAATTATGCTGCCACTTCACGCTGGTATTCTGTACCAAATGTGATCCTTCCCCGGCTAAGTAGACCCACTCTTTCTTGCTGTAAACACACACTGCAACGTGACTACTAAATTACCTGAGTTCCCTAAGTGGTCGGACTATTTTTCTGTCTATGAGGGATACCACTCTCTTAATTTTGCGGTGGTAGAGCCACGCGGCAGTTTTTGCTGTTGCACGTAAGGGCCGGCTTGAGCCGGGTTGGTACCACGACCTAACAGAATACCGGCGTGAAGTAGAAGCTCTGCTTCTGCATTTCGTCAGAGAGGAAATCTGTTCTCGACGCCTCAGCAGTCTTGAAGATTCGGACCTGTCCATCATTTGGCTACGCGTAGACAGCGACGACCATCCGCGCGTCTATGGGTGCCTCTATAGGTCCCATAGCGGTAATGCCGAAACAGACCGATTTATCGACCATGCCAAATGGCTACAGATTCCTTGCTACAACCGGTCCCATCCGCAGAGATCGTGATCCTTGGCGATTTTAACGCCCACCACGCCGAATGGCTCGGTTCACGTTTAACTGATCATGCGGGTAGATCTGTTTATGACTTTGCCTTGGCATATGGTCTGTACACAACTGGTTACTTCGCCTACGCGGATTCCAGATGTCATACACCTTCCTTGTTGGACCTTCTGCTGACCTCTCATCCGGACGGATATCAGGTACCTCTCGACTCTTCGGACCATTCTCTGATTCGGAGTGTGGTGCCACTCACGCTCCCCTCGCGGTTGCTTTCTGCAGGTTACCGCCGTGTTTGGCATTACAGGTCGGCGGATTGGGACGGAATGCGCACTTTCTTTGGATCCTACCCATGGGGGCGGGTTTGCTTCTCGCCGGATGATCCCAGCGCTGTTGCTGACTCTGTCACTGATGTGGTGCTACAGGAAATGGAACTATTTATTCCATCATCTGTGGTACCCATCGGAGGCAGATCTCAGCCTTGGTTTAGTCGCTCCTGTAAGACTGCATTACGCAGTAAACAAGAGTGTTATCAAGCCTGGACTGCGGCTTCGGCGGCTCGGGATGTAAACACCAGCACACTTAAAAAGAAGTATAACTTCGCCTCCAGGTCCTTCAAAAGAGTTATTGCCAAGGCAAAGTCAGAGCACATAGGCAGAATTGGCGAGAAACTACGTCGCATTCCTTCGGGAACCCGTGCATTCTGGTCTCTCGCCAAGGCTGTCCAAGGGAATTTCTGTAAGCCATCACTACCATCTCTGCACAGGAAGAATGACTCACTGGCCCACGCCGCAAAAGAGAAAGCCGACCTTTTAGGCTTCGTTTTTTCTCTGCGGATTTGACCTGTTGTAGCAAGGAATCTGTAGCCATTTGGACGTGGTCGATGAGTCGGTCTGTTTCGGCATTACCGCTATGGGACCTATAGAGGCACACGTAGACGCGCAGATGGTCGTCGCTGTCTACGCGTAGCCAAATGATGGACAGGTCCGAATCTTCTGCCGAGGCGTCGAGAACAGATGTCCTCTCTGACGTATACGCAAACTCCAGTCCGAGGCACAAAGGAGTGCTCCAATTTGTACCCCGGGTAGGAGAGATACGAAGTATCAGCCGGAGAGGACACCTGCGTCTCGGTCAGAAAGAGCAAAGCCGGCTTCGCCGTCTCGAGATGGTAGTGGACTGCGTTTAGGTTCGAGTGAAGTCCCGTGATGTTGCAGAAATTCACGGATAGCATGGCAGGAGTCCCCTTGGTATTGTTGCTCAGTTTGGCCCGAGCAGTTATATTTTTGAGCGGAATTACAACCCCCCCCCCACCCCAGAATACGTGGGGCAGCCAGAGCATCCACGCTCCGGAGTGGAATAACATGGTCGTGGACGCTCAGCGAGGGATTCTCCAGGGGTGCTGGTACCCTCCGGTGGTAGTCTTTGATGTAATTCCGCTACCATGTCGATGGGGGGGGGGGGGGATTGGGCCTCCGGCCACCTGCACTCACCAGACGAGACGCACAAACAGAGCTTCTACTTCACGCCGGTATTCTGTGAGGTCGTGTTATCAAACCGGCTCGAGCCGGCCCATACGTGCAACAGCAAAAACTGCCGCGTGGCTCTACCACCGTTAAATTATCTACACCCATCTTCGATTACGAATCAAAGTGCAGATGCCTTGTCACCCGTAAGGACTAAGATGGAATGCCTCTTTTTCAGTAAAAAGTGTCTCCGGTTCTCAATACTCACCATACGAAACACAGCAGCGTTAACCTGTCATTTTACGCTGGTATTCTGTGAGAGCGTGGTCCTTCCCCGGTCGAGACGACCCACTCGTGCTACAACCACAACATAGCTGCAGTATGGCTCTGCCTCGTAAGAACCACCTGAGAGGTGACCACGCATATGTAACCCTCTATGTTTAAAGTTGTTTTCATATGTCTATTCGACAGTTGGCTGCTGTGGTTACCATCAGGTGGATTGAAAGTTCGTTTGTCACTATATAGAAAAAAAAATGCTATCAAAAGATAAATACTCTGGAATAAGCTACTAGTGATTATTGGATTTACTTACCTCCTCAATAATCAGCTGTGCGTCATCGAGCCGCTGTTGTAACTCGGCGGCTGACAACTCCCGAACCTCGCACTGCTTCCGCAGCCCGGCCAGCTCTTCGCTCTTGTCCTTCAGCAACGCTACAACACCCGATAACGGTAAATTATCAGTCTTTTGTAACGGGACCAATCATTTACTTTTTTACATTTAGAGTTCGTTTCCTTATTCTAATTCATCAGGCCGTAAAACATGGGTGTCTCCCGTTGTAAGGAGAATTTGCCTTAATCGTTACGTATACCCAGAGGCCAGAGGTTTCGCACCTTGGCGCTGCCCCCTGCGATGGTCTGGATATTTTACGTCTGGCTAAACAAAATAGTATACGACAACCTGTGTGAAGCCTAGTCGTCTCTTATAATACCTATGGTAAATGCAATGATTAATACTTTTACCGCCACTACAAAACCAACTATTATAAGGATTTGTATTTAATTTATTATTATAGAATATGGGTGATAAACGAGCACTCAGCGATGGTAAGTGGTTGCTGTGGCCAATGTTTATATATAAAATAATATGTTGTCACCCCTGTGGACTAAGATGTAATGCCAATTCTACAAAAAGCTTCAGCCTATCGCTTTTTTTTTTTAAATATTTATCTTAATTATTTTGATTCTTAGTCGAGTATAGATGTAGATGTCTATGGGCCACAGCAACCACTTACGATCAGGTGGACTGTGTGCTCGTTTGTCATCACCCTTATCCTATAAAAAAACCTTCAAGCTGGACTACAGCAGTTATTAACTGTTGCTTGGAGGTAGAGGTAAGTAATAACCTACTCAGACGGACCTAGGCAGTAAAAAGCCCTTACAGTCTCCGGAAAAAGAAGTACGCGAGTAGAAGTAAAATAAGAAAAAGATATCCGTCTGCTAGGTACGAGTACCATACTTATACCTTTTTATTATTCTTTCTTTTTTACATCTACTTTATAATAAGGGATATAAAGGGCGGACTTAATGCCTTATGGCATACTCTACCAGTCAACCCTGGATGATTTGAAAAGCTGTGGTAGGTGCAACACCACTCCATACATTAATAAATAAGCAAAAACATTATATCTTATAACAAAAAGCAAATAAATAAAATATATTTTTAAACTATACAAACTTAATATTAAATACTTATATATACAAAATCTCTAAATAAATATAAAATAATATAACACAAAAATAAAATAACATGATGCATATTAAAATACATATTATACAAAATATCAATTACAAAGCTAAAGAGGGAGAAAAAGAAAAATCGGATAAATCGGGTGGTATTATTCCTGTTAAAGAATTCTCGAACTAGTCTTTTAAAATATTGTTTGTTACTGGTTTATTTGATATGAACAGGCAAGGCATTCCAGAGCAGTATGGACTGCACAGTAAAAGAGGAATTAAAGAAACCACTCTTATGTGTTGGAATACGAATTTTAACACTATTTTGGGAACGGGGAACTCTATCATGAGTAGAATATTGGTACGGAAAGTTATCCTTAAGATAAGAAGGAGATCAATGTCTGGACAAGTAGAAGTTTAGTTTTAAAAGGTAGAAAGTTTTTGAGACGTCAAAGAGAACGTAAGGTGGCAGTAACTTTACGGCTTATTTCAGCAACTTGAACTCCCCAGCTTAAGGTATGGTCTATATGTAAGCCAAGATTTTTAAAAGATTTACAAAATGGCAACAATGTTTTATTGTAAAATACGGGAGAAAGATCATCGTTATTAATCTTGGCTAATATTCTGCTACTACCTATAACCATTAACTTACATCTGGAAGGGTTAACCGAAACATTACCTTTTTCTGTTTTTCTGTGTGTTGTGGTCTCAAGGAAAAACATGATAATTAATTATTCTATTAATATGATCACAATCTGTGGGACATTCGATCTAAGTTCCCGGAGGTGGCAACAGATTTTTTACCTTCTTTGTTTGAATTTGGTGGGCGGAGTGTTTGTCACTTAATTTTGTAAAAAGTTCTGAATAAACAAAGACTTAATTTTCTAAAAACACTACGGTAATAAGAAATACTTCACTAACTTTGAAGTTGTTGCAGTTGGCGAGTCATAGAGTCGCAGGTCACGTTCTGGTTCTTCGAGCTCTCCTCCAACGTGGACAGCTGTTGCGCCATGCGTCGAAACTAAAACAAAAGTCATCAATAAACCAAAAATAATCATTAACCCAAAGAAAGAATAATGCTGTTCAAATGCCTCTCCCGCAGTTTGGAGTATTTTCCTTTATTAATGTTTTTATTTTTAGAAAAGTGAGAACCATGCACTGGCGGTGTAAGTAATCCACTACCCCATATCGTTTCGTGGGTGTCGTAAGAGGTTACAGAGAGAAAATGAAACAGGCTATAGACAGCAGCCTCTTCCTATTAACAACTCAAAATAATAATAAAAACAGCGGTTGAAAAATCCCCCCTATGAGGTAATCTATCGGGGAGGCCTATATTCAGCAGTGGACTATTATAGGCTGTAATGGATGGACGGATAGTGAGAATATCGCCACTTGTTGGACTTTTACGAGGATGCATAAAGCGCTAGCAGCGTAAGAGAACCAATCACCCAATTTTACCAGACGTAAAATACATAGACTTGCGACTGGCAGCTACCACACGTACTGCGATCGACGCTAACAGCGGGACGATTGAGGCGAATCCTTTCTTCAACAGGAGTGGCCTATTTTCAGCAGTGGACTTTAACTGATGAAAAAGAAGCTAGACCACGTAATGGCGGTGTAAGAATATCCGCTACCCCATATCGTCCCGTGGGTGGTGACAACAAAGGAAAACAAGCCAGGACATGAGCAGCAGTGTATATCTAATAAAAACTAAAAAATTAAAAGCTACAGTTGCCAGGCCTTGCCCCAGCAAAGCGTTGCAACTATGGCAACGTTAATGAGGAAATCTATAGGAAGGACTTTGATAGGCTGTAATGAATGAATAAAATGAAGAAAAAGAAATATTAAAACTAATTTAGCAGGCTAAAGTCCCCAACATCCCTAGCTACTGTTAGATAAATCAAAGGTTACCTCTTGATCTTTTAGCTCGAGTTGTCGTTGGTACTGCAAGTTCACTTTATCCTTGTCTTCTATAGCCACTTCCAGTTCATGCACTCGCTGGCGCAAATCTTTGGCTTGAATCTAAATTATTGAAACAATGAAAATTACTGTACCAACTTATATACCTCCCACTGCTAAGCACAGGCTTCCCCTTGTTTCTTAGAGAATTTTAGACAAAATAATAGATCATTTATTACAGAATAAGGGTGGAAAAGGAGCACATAATCCACCTGATGGTAAGTGGATGCTGTGCTCTATAGATATTTACATCTATCCTCGATTAAGAATCAAAATGGAATACCCTGTTTCCAGTAATAAGGATCTCCAGTTCTCTAAACTTACCATACGAAACACAGCAGCATTAAGTTGCTATTTCACGATGGTATTCTGTGTACCCCAGTCGAGCCGACCTATTCATTCTACAACCATAATATAGCTACAGCATGGCTCCACCACTTCCAAAAACGTCTGATAATCATATGAATCCTTCAATGCACAGGCACGTCTCGAAAGTTCGAAATTTTTGTTTGTTCCATTAAATGCACGTCGCTTGGAAAAGTTTAGAAGTAACATAGTGAAAAAAAAACTCCCATCACTTTCATACCAAAATAATAGAAATTTTTTGTATAGAAAATTGTTTAAGCTTATTTGCAATGAATTTGATAACATTTTTAATTTTACTGCAGCTATGTTAATAGTATAGCTGCAGCACGAATAGGTCGGCTCGACCGGGGAAGGACCACACTCTCACAGAAAACCAGCGTAAAATAGCAGCTTAATGCTGCTGTGTTTTGTATGGTGAGTGTAGAGAACTGGAGACCCTTTTTTCTGGAAAAGAGGCATTTCATCTTAGTCCTTACGGCTGACAACGTATCTGCATTTTAATTCACAAACGAAGATAGATGTATATGTCTATGAGCTACAGCAACCACTAAATATCAGGTGGACTGTGTGTTCGTTTGTCACCCTTATTCAATAAAAGAAATACTCTTTGCACAGTCGGAAGGCATTTAATGAATGGACCTATGTAAAAAGATATTTAAAAATATTTAAAAGAGTGTGCTTCACAGCCAAGTATTTGCATTTAAGCAACAAAATTAAGATAGCTTCTAATAAAATTAAAATGACATGGAGTACAATTAATAGCGAAACTGATCGGGATCCACTCTCGCAATTCAAACTACCAGTTAAGTTTTAACAACAAATTAACTGAATCAGCTCAGTACGTTGCAATGGTTTTTCATAAATATTTTACTGATATTCCCATATTAAGCACTACGTCACTTAATTATTTTCCTGCCGTCGCCGAATCATTACTTAAACAAAATGTAATTGCGTGTACAAAGAATTTTACATTTCATAAAGTATCATAAAATATTTTAAAACTATTGATGTTAAGAAAACTGCAGATCTATAGGGGATTCCCGTTAAAGTTATTGTGCTTTTAATAGATACAATCGCGCCTTATTTAGCTATTATTTTTAATACTAGTATCGAATCTGGTCTGTTTCCTGATTTAATGAAGCATATTAAAGTAATACCTTTATTTAAATTTGGTAGTTCAGACACCGCCAATTTTAGACCTATTTCTGTACTGCTAACACTTAATAAGATTTTTGAAATAATTATTCTTGATAAAATGTTTAATTTTTAATATAAATAATTTACTTCATAAAATCAATTTGGTTTCACGAGAGTTCGCTTGACAACTAATGCCAGTGTTGAGCTGATTAAATATATATTTAATACATGGGAGAATTCACTGGATGCTTTGGGCATATTCTGTAGCCTATCTAAGGCCGTAACAGAACGCATTGTCATCAATAGTATGAGCTCTTACGGGTAGATAGTATAAATAGGCGCACATCAGGGGTCAATTCTAGGCTCCTTTCTGTTTCTTGTATACATTAATGATTTACCTTACATAGTAGGGGATAATCATGATATAGTATTATTTGCTGATGACACTTATTTAATTTTCAAATTAAAACGGCAATTGATAAAATATGACGAAGTAAAATAATGCTATATCTAAATGGGGCATGCTAGTTTTGATATATGGGGCCCCCATATATCAAAACTAGCAAACAGAATTAGTTCTGCAGCATATACTGTGGAAAGATTAGAAATCTAACCAGTGTTGAAACAGCTAGACTAGTTTACTTTAGCTATTTTAGCATAATGTCGTATGGTATTTTGCTATAGGTACACGCGACTGACACTGAAATTATATTTGTTTTACAAAAGAGGGCCATAAGAGCAATCTATGATTTAAAGCCTAAAGAGTCGCTGTGACTGCGATATAAAAGTAATTTTAGAAAAATAAGTGATATTCAATCTGTAAATACTAGGAACAGACACTCGACTTCACCGAGTCAGTAATTCATTCTTGGGGCGATGTATACGCTTTTACAACAAAATTCCAGAAAATATACAAAATTTGACCTGCTCAAAGTTCAAAAATCTTATTAAACTGAGATTGTAAACTAAAGATGTTAATAACCCCTGGGAATTAGGTGATAGCTACCAAGCTATTTCTAATTTGTTTTGTGTTGTTAATTGTGTAACATACATGATTGTAATATGGTTTTTTTAAAGTCCCGCTGGGTTTCTTGCTAGTTCTCCCCAGGACAGAGGCTATTTCTGAACCAGTGGCAATTAAACATAAGAGTGACTTTCAATAAGTAGTATTTATACTCTATATTGAATAAAAATGTTTCTGTTTCATTTTCTGTTTCTCAATATTTGTTTTCACGTCTGTTGTACGATTAGGTTGGGTTGGCTGTGTTATGTTTCTTTTTACTGAGTAGCTGTATAAGTATCGATTATAAGCCGATGTCTTTTTTATTAGACCTGTCCCGGCTTCATCTGGATAGGACACTATTAAGATGGCGTTGTTTAGATAGTCAAAGAGACAAAAAATTTAAAAATGGTTATTCATGTCTAAATAGTATACAAACAACAGTATAAAAGCCAGTTATTTCAATGTTACAGACAGACACTTCAATTTTATTTATATATGTATATAATGCAGTCTTATTATAATAAAAAAACATAACGCAATCATGAAAACGATTCCCAACCAAGTTATACACACGCACTGTTAATGTCATCATCATTATCATCATTACAGCCATTTAAAAGTCCACTGCTAAACATAGGCCTCCCATAAGGATTGCCACCTGCATCCATCGACTTCTTGCATGTCTTGCCAGGTCGTCACTCCATCTGGTGGCGGGACGCCATACACTTCACCTACCGGTACGAGGCTGCCACTCGAGAACCTTTTTTCCCCACCAGTTGTCGGTTCTTCGAGCTATATGGCCGGCCCATTGCCCCTTCAGCTTACTAATCCGTAGGGATATGTCAAGCACTCTAGTTCTACTGCAGATATCCACATTTCTAAGTTTATTTCGCAAAGAAAGCCCGAGCATAGCCCTCTCCATAGCTCGCGGAGCGACTTTGAGCATCCACACAGAGCCAGCAGTGAAGAATCACAGCTCAGATACATAAGTTATCACTGGCAATATGCACTGGTTGTACAATCTCGTTTTCAGGTTTTGAGGTATACCTGACGAGAACATGTGTCGTAATTTCCCGAACGCTGCCCAACCGAGTTTAATCCGCCGATTGACCTCGACTGACCGGTCGAAGTTGGACTTACGTAGTTGGACCATTTGTCCCAGGTAAACATACTCGTCAACAACTTTAAACTTAGTGCTCCCAACAACTACCGGCATAGGTGTGACATGGACATTAAACACGATCTTTGTTTTGTCCATGTTCATCTTAAGACCTATCCGTTGGGAGATACTATTGAGGTCGTTGAGCATAGTGCTTAGGTCCTCCAACGATTCTGTCATAAGCAAATCGAAGATGAGTGATGTACTCGCCATTGATGTTGATACGTTTCCAGTCCAGTAGCTTGAAAACATCTTCCAACGCAGCGGTGAAGAGTTTTGAGGATATAACATCATCCTGTCTTACACCTCTCTGCAGTTGGATAGGTTTCCTACTCTGATTCTTTATTCGGATAGCCATCGTAGCCCTCCTGTACAAACACTTCAGCATCTCCATATACCGACAGTCAACTTAGCACCACTGAAGAGACTGTAGCACCGCCCACATTTCGACAGAATCAAAAACTTTCTCATAGTCCACATATGCAAGGCAAAGTGGAAATTTGTACTCTTCGGTCTTCTGTACAATTTGCCTACGGGTATGTATATGGTATTTGGCACTAAAGCCCTTTCGGAAACCGGCTAACTAAACTATTAATGTATAGATAGCAAAATCAATTCAATTCAACAAACGAACCACTAAATCCTCGTTGATCTGTTTGAGTTTCACGTTTTCATCTCGCAAGCCGCACGTGCAATCGCCCTGCAAAAAAAAAGTAAATCACTACTTTATTATGATTAGGTATGTAAATACTATACATCGTACGAACCTTATTTTTGACCTTTCATTAAAACTAGAAGATTGGTCATGTTAATTATCGCATTAAGATATTAATGACCAAATACTCAAAGGTTACTCAATTTTCGTTAATTCTCATGGTGTCACAGTCACTTTGACTTAATAATTAAAATAAATAGATAATAATTTTTAAATTTTAATAGCAGTAAATTTTAAAGCTATTATATTTAACTTTAAGATGTATTTAAATGATATTTATTAATAAACAAAGCCAAAAATTTTACACTGTATACCACACAGTATTTAAAAAAATGGACATATATTTATTGACGACAATCCATTACAGCCTATAAAACTGCACTTGTGAACATAGGCCTCTCTCAAACATATTATCTTAGGGAGATTGCACCATAATAGCCACGCTTGGCTTTTAATAATTTTCAGTTGTTATCATAAAGATGCTGCTGCCTATCTTCTGTTTCGGTTACCCTCAGTCTCCTCTTACGACATCCACGGGACGATAGAAGTGGATTTTCTTACACCGCCTCTACACGGTTTTTGACGACAGTGTATACAAAAATGACAGTCAATGAAGTTGTTTTTTTTTGTTTGTTGGCAGCAAACGTAATATTATTCTTATCATGCACGCAAATAATGTTTTTAAACTCAAGTGTGAAACCCACAACCAGTAGTTCCCTGAGCCGCAGCAGCTGTCCGCTGATGTGTTGCAGCTCCCCACCCAACTCGCCCGCCAGTGACTCCTCGCGTTCCCACATGCCCTGACCAAATCAAACGCAAATTACTCTGCTCAAATTCTTTATTTCATATATAAGTGAATTACATGCAACTAATCTACAATAGTACTTGCCTCATGCTTCTGCCCCACAACAAAAAGCTTCCTAGACCAACTTCAAAAAACCTTTACAGAACCTTTGAAGTCGGTTTAAGATACTCCTCAAATTAATTAATCATTCAGCGAATTTAAAGCTAGTTTACGTTACGTTCAAATCATTGAAATACAAAACGTGGGTGCGTTTTATAATTTTCTGGAAAGACTGCCAGTAAAAATATAATATTTGAAAACTGTTTTCACTTACCGAATCGTACTTGCTACTTCTATGGCAGTAAACAACAGGATGAAATTCTTTAAATAAGTAAACTAAACAAACACCCCGATAGCATCATATTACAACAATTATAAACAGTTTAAAAACATCTAACCATGCATTATTTAATTAAATTTTCAAACTTTTGAACAAAAAAAATGGTTAAAAACTCTAAAATGAAACAAAGCATGCGATCAGTTTTAACATTTTTAGATATTATTAATAACAAATAAATTTATACTTATAGGTAGGTAAGTTCAATTAAATCGACTATAAATACTTCGTTATAAAATAATTAAAATAATATTTATTAATTCTTGCTCTTACACTTTGCTTGCCAAATAATGAATTATCTCTATTTTAATTCAGTTTAGGATTATACATTTAATTTATTGAATTAAAATTATACAATTTATTGTAATAATTTATTTAGATAATACTCTCTACTTCGACTTCTTTAATAATATAACTTGTTAAGGAACGAAATTAATGTTACCAAAATTACATATACGTTTAATATTCTTAAAAGCATGCAGTGTTTTTTTTATTACGCAGACATCAAATGTAAGTAGCAACACACGACATCACGCGTTAGTCTTTGTAATACCGAATCGCTGTTGGAGTTGTTTAAGAAATTCGATATTTCCGACTTCAAATTCTCCACCTCCATGGCAATATCCTAAAAAAAAATAATAAGCTTCCAAAAATAATAGATAAATAAAAACAAACATTTAGTTCAATTTCACTAGCGTTACCTGGCACCTATCGAGCGACCACTTCTGCGAGTTGACAACATTCTGCAAGCGTCCAATCTGTTCCGTTTTCTCCCTCTCCTTAATGCGAATGTCTAAGAACGACTTTCTAAGTAAATCTATCAATTCTTCTTGTTTCACCGTCTAAAAATATTAAGAATTAATTTGCAATTACTTATGAAAATTAAATACAACAAAATTGAAATCCAATAATATAAATTTTCCTGATTCCGTCATCACATGGATTTTTAAGATTATCATTTTATTTATTTAAAGGAAAATGCAGCAAAATAGGATAACAGAATTTGTTAATAATTAAAATTAAAATAACAATAAATATTTACATTTAGTTTTTTGTTTTACATTTAGTTTTTTGCACATCCTACACATTGCCCTTGAAGTTAGTGCGCAGTGCGAAGTGAAAAATGTCAGTTCAAGTTACCAACCCACCTGCCAAGCGTGGCAACTATGGCAAATATCTATCCTATAAGGTAATCTATGGGTGACCTATGTTCAGCAGTGGATTTATTTTAGATTGTAGCGGTAACTTGCTCCTGCGAAACTAAATAAACGATACCTACAAGCTTACCTCATAAAAGCATTCCCTGTAAAGATCCTCGATAACTGACAAGCTGTCCTGCAAACTCGACACGATTTGCTTTTGACACATCTCATCCTAAAAAGTCCAAAATCTCTTCATGGTCTTGCACACAAACACATTATAACATTTTAAACGTGTTTTTTTTTTATTTGAAAAAAAATATAATTATAGTGGTGTTGGGAGTAGCGGTGCCGGGATTAGTGGTGACGGGGATAGTGCACGCAATTGAGGGAGGGCGGGAGGTGCTCTTCATACTTGGTAAGACACATCATTTTATTTTATAACGCGTATATTTGCGAAGTAAATGTTTCTAAAAGCTTTTAAAAATATAATAGGTAAAAAATCTGAAACTTTCGCGAGTTCCTTTATAAAAACTTACTTAAAAATCCTTACAACATAATATTGCAATATATGATAAATAACTTAATTATTATAGGAAGTTAGAGCTACGCAAACTTAATTCAGTGCCCCTACCTGCTAGAAGATCTATAGATCGTTGCAACAACTGACCTGATGCATATCGGTGCTGATTGAGATGTCGGTCTTCTCCACCAGACGGGGTTCGGAAATACGCGGCGACTGCAACTATTAACATTTAATGTTATAGACCGATTTTCGTTGATGAATGAGCGTATTACCATAATAAATTACGATTTTCTGCCGACTTCAAAAAGGAGACGGTACTCAATTCGACTGTATGATTTTTTTTATGTGTGTTACTCCATAACTTTTTACTGGGTGAACCGATTTCGATGATTCTTTTTTATTTGAAAGTTGGTACTTCACATGTGGTCCCATATGAATTTGATCAAGGTCATACCAATAGTTTTTGTGTTATTCTTAATAATATATATTGAAGCCGGCTGTACAAAATTTTTAATTACTGAAAATAAAGCAAGACATTTTAAAGAATGTCAATTTGTATAATTCTTTAATAGTCATATTACAAACTAGTTTTAGGGATTTTATCGCTTTTAAATAAAGTTATTTTTACTTATTTTAATTCTCGACATTTTGGGTGGTTTAGTTTTTTGCTAAAAAATTTAATCCAAACCCAAGCATACAACTGCAAGATTTAAGTTTTATTATATTTCTATGATTTTAAGATAACATAAGCTCGTTCTGCGTATCAGGACGTCAAACACCTGACCTCCCCCTCCCCCCCCCCCCACCCTCTCTGGATGATTAGTTTCTGTAAAACTCCCAAAACGTCGGGAATTAAAATAATTCAATATAAGTTAAATTAAATGCGATGAAATAAAAATAAAATGTCTAATCACAGCTACCTAGTCCTATCCTAAGCTTGGGCGACAAAATGGAAGTTATTAAGCCAAATAAGGAAAATGCTCATATCTGAGTATAAGCCGTTGTCTGACTCCACAGCTGGCGGTCGACTTTGAACATAATGCGAACCAGAAGTATGAGTGCACGCAGCGTAGTGCCTGCTACTTCATTATCGCTAACCCGGAAAAATCCACTGCTGGATGTATTTGACAGATTGTAAAAAGGATTTGTGTAACAATTAGCCTAACATTTTTTTACTATATAGTTAGATAATATGATTTCACTTACAGGTAGTTATATCATGCATAAGACTAATTATACGATAACTTAAGACTAAACCATACACCGAATGTGACACTAACCTGACTGAGTTGCCGTCGAAATATTTCAGCGCGTTCCGTCAGCGCCGATATCCTCTCTTCAGCTAGCGCCAGACTCTGCGCTTGCACTCGAATAGTCTCCTCTTTATTTTCCAGCTGTTGTACAAGTGACGACTTATAATTTAAGTGTTTCGACAACTGCGCACGCCCATGTAGAGTGCGGTTTACTTGCATCATAGGTACATAGTGTGAATATGTTCGCAAGGGATTAACAAGCGATCCGTGTGCAACTTGTGATTACTACATGGTAGAGGCTTGCTGGAGCTATATTATAGTTGTAGCTCGAATCAGTCGGCTCGACTGTAAAAGGACCACGGTCTTACAGAATACCAGCGTAAAATAGCAGCTTAATGCTGCTGTGTTTCGTATAGTGTGTGTAAAGAACCGGAGACCCGTTTTACTTTAAACGTAGCATTCCATCTTAGTCCTCAGGGGTGACAACGATTTGCATTTTGATTCTTAATCGAGGATAGATGTAGACATCTATGAGCTATAGCATCCTGACTGTGTGCTTGTTTCTATTAAAAAAATAGAAATGCACATGTTCGTTCGTTTTTGCGCGTGCGCTACGTGCGCAAGTGTGGATCCGGCATTACAAACCTAAGTAGGTACGACAGCAATCGAATGCTTGCGTCTTTTTTAACTTGCGACTGCTAGACATGGAAGGTTCTAAGCATTACTTATAGTATGAAATAAGGGGTTACTGCAGCCAATAGACGCTCACCTTTGACCACAGACTATAGTGAAATATTTCAAAGTCTGTAATTATGATCACTCTTTTATTCTTTCAAACTAGAAAGCAGCCGTCGGTGCAGTGTACTTGGTTGCAGAAATGTTAAAAGGATTAGGATTAGGTAAAACAATTAATCTCCGCAGACAAGCTCGAAAAAAAATATCGCGTGTTACATAAATATAGGTTTTCACTAAACTCAGGATGTACGGTTCAGCAGGTAAACAAGTCGTTAAGTCATGATAATAAATATATAGGATACAAACTATCTGCATAGTGGCCAAGAGCTTGCTTTGAAGGCACTCCGTGGTCGAGAGCGGATCACTTAAAGCACTCTCAGCTATACTCGAGGCGCCTATGCTCTCCTGTAACAAATGTAAATATAAAAATACGATTTACCCCACTAGAGGTATACATCCTTAAATTATGTTGAGTAATTAATATACATTATAATACAATATTACAGGTTCCATAAAAGAAAGCAATTGGCCGTAGTCAATTTAAAAAAAAAACTTAAAGACATTTATGAACTCGTACAAATAGTTTATGCCGTTAGACAAAGGATAGTAATATATATTTTTTTTATAGGATAGGTTGACAAACGAGCACACAGTCCACCTGATGGTAAGTGGTTGCTGCGGCCTATAGACATCTACATTTATCCTCAACAAAGAATCAAAATGCAGATGCGTCGTTACCCGTGAGGACTAAGATGGAATGCCTCTATTCCAGTAAAATGGGTCTCCGGTTCTCTACACTCACCATACGAAACACAGCAGTGTCAAGCTGCTTATTTTACGCTGGTATTCTGCGATAGCGTGGTCCTTCCCCGGTCGAGCCGAACCATTCATGCTACAAACTATACTACTAATATAGCTGCAGCATGGCTCTACCACGTACATAGTTTATACAATAGACAATAGAATTTTTAAGCCATGTTTTCATTTATCTCAGTATCAAGTGATAATAATCCTTTCTAGTACACTGCTTCACAATATGTTGATGCGTTACATTGCGTAGTTTTTGGGAGATTTTGACGGCAACTTTAGTCAGCAGGCAGTTGAAGATAGTATCTCAAGGCGCCTAAGCAGACAGACACATTTTTATATGTGGTAGAGCCATGCTGCAGCTTTATTTCTGGTATAGTTGTAACACGAATGGGTCGCCTCGACCGGGGAAGGACCACGCTCTCACAGAATACCAGCGTAAAATAGCAGCTTAATGCTGCTGTGTTTCGTATGGTAAGTGTAGAGAGCCGGAGACCCTTTTTACTGGAGACGAGGCATTCCATCTTAGTCCTCACGGGTGACAACGCATCTGCATTTTGATTCGTAATCGAGGATAAATGTAGATGTCTATGGGCCACAGCAACCTACCATCAGGTGGACTGTGCTCTTTTGTCACCCTTATCCTATAAAAAACACATTATCTTGAGATTCACATCACCATCGGAGCACTTGTTTCACCGTTTCCACTAATAGTTCACATGCGTAGACATTTAATACACTAAATCGCACCACTTCTACATATCAAAAGACACTTCAAACCATTATTTAAATTTTAAACAAATAAATATACGTAATAATAAAACGTAAATATCCGTATGAATATATAAATAAATAAGTATTTGAAATAAACAAGTGGTAAAATTAAAAATTTTGTACAACCGACTTCAATATAAATTATTAAGAATAATTCAAAAACTATTGGTCAGAGCTTGATCAAATTTATATGGGACCACATGAGAAGCATCAGCTTTCAAATAAAAAAATAATCATCAAAATTGATTCACCCAGAAGAGAAAGTTATGAGGTAACACACATAAAAAATACAGTCGAATTGAGCACCACTTCCTTTTTGAAGTCGGTTAAAAACAAAAATAAAATGTCACCTAGTGAAAAAAGTCCTACCACCTAGTAAAATAAATCCTAGTGCCTAGTAAATTAATTCATCATTTAATCAAACGTAGGTTTAATAGGTAGAAGTTGTTACGATTATAATATTCGTTAATTAGCTTGGCTCTTTGAGCTTAGAATAAATTTATCCGTAGAGCAATTTAAAATATACAATTTAAGATGTAGAAAGATATATTCAATATAAGCATTAATTTAGATTTACCTAAACTTTTTGTTTGCCAGTGGTATAACTAACTTCACAACTTGCTCTGAACAATAAAAAATAATATGCTATTTTTCAGCCAAGCTTCCACACAATGAAATTTTACGACTAATGCTTAGTTACTAAAGAAAGGCAGAGCCTGAAGGCAGAAGTAGTTATCAGTATTTTACTAGAACAGTTTTTCCGTCTGTCCGTCTATCTGGATAGATGCTACCCTCTTCAGGCTATGAGGCAGTCCGTGTTAGTTTTTAGAGATGATAAAGCATCTGTGGCCTTGTTGGCTTAAAGGCGGTTACAGATGTCCATGCTGCATGCTGCAGTAACCACTCCTTATTCTCCAAAAATGTTTAAGACAATATAATCCTACATCCTATTCAAGACAAATGAAATATGCAAAGACATAAAGATCATACAGCCTTTTCATAAGTGACGACTAATAATTTTGGCGTTTTGGCGAAAAATTATCGCATACGAACTGACCCTGTATGGTTATTATTGTATAATATTTATTTAAATTAATATATAGTAATTATACTGGCTTTATTTTAAATTAAGTTAATAAGGGTTAATTGGGTTTTATAAGGTAGAAGGTAGAGTCACGCTGGCAGCAACATTATGTAGCATGAATGGCTGAGCTAAACCGGACTGAACTCTCACAGAATACCAGCAGTAAATTACTTTAATACTGCTGTGTTTGCTATGGTGGCTGTAGAGAACCGGAGGCTTTTTTTACTGGAAACGCATTTCGTAAGAAAGAAAGGCATTCCGTATTAGTCCTCAGGCGATACGAACGGCCTTCTAGACAAGAAGGTATCCTACCGTATTTTACTGTTATTAAAACCGTGGTAGTTAAGAGGCAAAGCACTTGCTGCAAATATCACAGTACGCAAGCGACCCGGGTTTGATCCTCGCCCAAACCAATTAAATTGTGAATTGCAATTTTAAGGTTTTATAAATACTCATCACGACATATTCATCGTCGAATGATGAATACGATCGTGTGGAAACCTGCATGTCTAAGGAATAAAATATTCGAAGGACATGAATACAAACAGACGTCAGAAGCAGACGCAGTGGACTCGTCGCTCTATAAGCTTCTTTGAAATGAGAGGCCTATGCGCAGCGGTGGGACGTATAAAAGAAACTATTTAGTAAAAAATGAATTCATACAAGGCTGCTAAAACACCGAAAATTTTGACATTTTGCAGCCGAAAAAAATTAATTATAACTAAACAAAACAAATTTAAATTGCTGTAACTTGTTATTTGATATTTGATTTGATTTGATACAGACTTGATAAATCCACATCATAAGCCACTAAAACCCCTTTTTTATGTAAAAATAGCAAGTAACCGATTTTAAAAAAATATTAATAAGTACGACAATCTTTCTGATAATGTGATTTTTATATCATTTATATGTATAATATGATTGCTAGACACGATTTCACGAGACAAAACGTTGGAATCTTGATTTTTAGGCGCTAGTAGAACATACACGCGCTTTGCGCTTAAGGCATACAAAAATATTACAAAAAAAAATAACTTTTATTATTTAAATGTCTTCTCGTGACAAACTTCAACTTCACATAATGTTCTTGGAACATTTTTTATATTCCCCAGACATGTAGGGGTAATGTTGGGGTAACGTTTTATAAAATAAGAAAGAAGAAATGAATGTAGCTACATGGTTTCCTGACGATGCTTTTCCTATACCGCCCAGCACATGATGACTTAGTTTTCAAAGTTAAGTAAAGAATTTTAGTGTTAGCAATGAAGACTGAATGCAGGTTACTTGTTTAAGTATAAATTTTATTGTACCGTACTATATTATATTACTTTTATTATACTCATTTAAGATAATTTTTAACTATACGTTCAATATATTATTTATTGTACACCAATACACATTAGAACGAGGCAAAATGAAATAAATATATAAAAAGTGCAACAGACGGTCTTATCGCTGTGGAAGCGATTTCTTCCAGACAACCCTTGCTTAGCAAAGAACTGTTGTTTACAGCGAATGGCAAATAGGGATGACGATGATGACGGTTGAGGATATGTAGGATAGATACAATTAAGGACTGTATGATGGGCAGTATTAGAGTTCCAAGTAATAAGTTTTAAGTAGGTTTTTAAAGGAAAAAAGGGACTAAGCACGTCAATTATATAAAGGCAAGTAGTTACACAAGCGTACAGCTGTAACTGAAAATAATTTTGAATTGTAAAAGAAGGATCAATGTGCAGGAATATGAAGCGAAAAATTGTTAGTGGAACGTAGATGACGATCGTGAGAGGAGGAAATGAATCCAAAGCGGTGTTTAACGTAACGTGGAGTAGAGGGATTAAACAGTATGTTGTATAAAGCAGTAAGGATGTGAGTATTCCTGCGAAGGCAAATCGGAAGCCAATTGAGACGTTTACGAAAACCTGAAATGTGATCAGATTTGCGGAGTCCAAATATGTCTCGTAAGCCTAAATTTTGAAATCGCTCAAGTTTATTTAACTGCGCTTCGATAACGTCCAGATGGCAAACATCAGTTAAATTTCATTTTTTTTTATTTAAATGACAATTTAAAACTCACTTTAGTGAAATCGCTCGTATCAGAGTCCCCGCACACCAGCAGCCCGTTAAACATCATTTTGTTGCTGCACTCTTCACACAAATATACATATACAAACAAATAAACACGCCACGCCTTAAGAGTTCAAACAATAAAAGTTCCAGTAAACTGTTTTCTAAGAACACGTAGGTATTAAAGGGTAAAAATTAAGAAATAAATCTTTCAAAAGCATAGTCAGTTGCAATAAATACTTTTATATATTTTTCTATTATTAATTAAAATATTACGTTGCGTTTCGCTCTTTGTTATTTGTTTCATATATTACAAATATTTTTATTGCATTAAAATATTACTATTTATTAAATACACTATGTAATATTTATAAATATTTATTATTATTCTTCATTCCTTTTTCAAAATATTAACTTGCAATGTATAAATATTTGACGTATTAAAACAATTTACGCGGTAATATCGTAAATATTCTCTTAAATCTCAGACCGGCTTTGTTTACTTTACACTCATGAGCCACGACAGACTATGACTGAACTGAATGTCCTGGCGCCGACCGCGTCTTGCGCGTGCCGCTGCACTGTGCGCGTATATTTAGCCGCACGTGAATTATTTTGGAAGTGCGACGGAAGCGGTCCCGGCCCCACTTGTGCTTTTTCCCTATCTCCCCCTAACCTGGAGAAGATCGCGTGCTCGAAATATAAATATTTCTTAAAGCTCAGCATAGCTTAGTTACAACCATGCACTCACCACTTGATTATTGATGGGTCTACGATCTACAAATAAAATCATTATGATGATTTCTATCTAATATTAGTTCCTTAATTTTTTCGGCTGTAGACATACATATTTTTTAGTGTTATCGATGTATCAACTAATGTATTAACGTGGTTCATTTTACATAGTGTGATTTTTTTAGAAGAAAAAAAAACTGTTTAAAACATAAAATTCCAATAAATTCCAAATGCTAAATTTCAATTTTTAGCTATTGCTTATTTAAGTAAAGGTGACAAACGAGCGCACGTTTGTCGAGCGCAGAGTGAAGTGGGATTAAAAATCAAAACGCAGATTCACCCCTTGTTCGGTTGTCACCCCTGAGGTCTACATTGGAATGCCTAATTATTAGTTAAACGAAAACAGCAGCATTATGCAATAATTAGAAATTTTTTCAAGTATATTACGTATTTCAAAATATTTAAAATTAGCTTTGCTTATAGATATTTTGTAGATGTTCTGCGTTTTGTGGAAGAACGAATCCGTTGCCGCATAGAGGATCTGATCTCTTTACATTTGCAGCGTCTGGAGTCTAATAGGTCAACGAACTTCAAATCCTACGTACTCCAGGTTCCTCCAAAACACAAAGAGACATTCCTCGCTCCCGATTTCTGGCCCTCATAGGTAGTGTTTCGCCAATATAGGGACGCGCCATCAAGAAAGTTCCCTAAATGTGTTATGCTTATATTTTACATATATTTTTAGATTAAGGGATATATTGCTATGGGCCAGTGTTCTTAATTTTTAAGTCCTTGATGCCTGAAATAAAGTTATTGTATTGTATTTTTACATTTAAAGTGTGACAACATTTTTATTACATTAAAATTCATAAGCAAACAATTTCAGAAAATCGCAACACTCAAATCAGCAGTACTCAATTTTATAGATGATACATTTACGTAGTATCCATATTCTAAACGCTGTTTGATGAAAGCTCAATGAAAAGAAAAAGAACAACATTCACACATCATACTCACATTAATATGCATAATGACTATTCTACACGCCCTGAAGAGTAATCTTTTAAATGGTGTCTAATAAGTGTGCCAGTTTCGGAAATATTTTTTATGACTTATGATTTTAAGTGATATTGCTTTACTTTGTCTGCCACCAGGAAAGCACCATTTACAAACGAGGTGAAATATTTGACAGCTTTCCTAGATGGAAAGTTAAATTGTCAGGAAAACATAATGTGTAATATTTCTTTCTGAAATGCTAGTTGTATTTTATATAAATTAGATAAAAATAGATAAACCAAAATTGGGATAAGCCTGAAAGTAAAATAACTAATGAGAGAGTTAAAAATGTGCAAAGAAATTATTGAGCAACCACAGAGGCGTTGTTTTGTGTATTTAGGTATACTCGTACTACATGTTATACACTAGAAATGTAAAATTTTTAAACGCTAATTTTCACTTATAGTGACACTGTGTCGTAATTTATTTTCACCTTAGTCCAAACTAGTGACATATAGTGAGCGGTAAATTGTTAGCCCTCATTCTGACTAACACAAACAACATAAGTTAAATTCATTGAACTCATCTTCTAAAGACTTTAAATGGGTAATAAAACAAATTCTACATTTTAACTTTTTTAATTGCCGACATTTCCAGACACTTTATGTACTCATGGTCACGGGAAGGACTAAGGTAGATAACGAAGGCTACCTTTATCCTTCAAATGTTATTCGGCACGATCTACGCAGAATGAGCTTACAGTATCTTGAAGTACCATGCTTGTGTTTGGATTTAATTTGATTGATTTTCTGTTCCGAAGCAAATGGTAGCATCCAGCCATCTTTTCGATTGATTAGGATGTTTTTTTTTTTTAAATTCAGTAGCCTAGCGAACCATCCTTGATAGAAATCGGTGTTCTATGCCCTGTAAAAAACCCATACTAAACGACATTTAAATGGTGAATCTCATCACTATCCTTCACAGTGAGCTTCATTATCTATGACATCAGGACAGTCCTCCCCGTGACTATGGGTGCTTTAAAGTGCCCATAAGGTTAAGAAAAATAAAATGTTAATATTGAACGAGATAAAATTCGTAAAATTAGTTTTACTCAATGTGTAGTATTCGCGTAAATATAAGAAATTACTAGCTGACCAGGCAGACGTCGTTCTGCTCTTTCCGACGACCCTTTGTCTAATAAAAAAAATCTTAAATTCGCAATAAAAAATATTGATGGCCACTTAACGGGATAAAAACTATCCTATCTCTCAAGTTGGACCAAACTGCACACATTGCGCAAAATTTCATTGAAATCAGTTCAGTAGTTTAGGAGTTCATCGCGGACAGACAATATGATACGTAATTTTTATATATAAAGGTTATGGATTTAAGTAAGCTTTTATACTTACTTTCATCATTATCATCAGTACAGCCCTTCACAAGTTCAGTGCTGAACATAGGCCTCCTCCAAGGAATGCCACAAAGCACGGTTCTGAGCCACCTGCATCCATCGACTTCCTGCATGACTTACCTCGTCGTCACTCCATCTAGTGGGGAGACGCCCTACACTTCGTCTACTGGGATGAGACTACTACTCGAGAACTTTTCTTTCCCATCGATTGTCGGTTCTTCGAGCTATATGGCTGGCCTATTGCCACTTTAGCTTACTTAGCCGTTAGGCTACGTCGGTTTCTCTGGTTCTACTGCGGATATCCTCAGTTTTATCTAACTTACTTTATTTTTATTTAAATCTACTTCTTGTATTTAAATTAAAATAATAACAGTCAAATGCATAATATAATAATAGTTTTGCGTAGGGGGAAATTAACGCGGCCCACACACCGTTCAATTTCCGGGAGCCAGTCTACAGTTCGATGATCCCACACTAAAATTAGGGAATTCTTTTAAACTTTATTTTCGGAATCGCATAAAATTTTAAAAATATATTTATACAGGAGTAATTATTATGACTTTTAAACTGTTCTCATTCTTTCTCATCAGGGAATGCTATCTTATATAGTTCATTGGATGTTAAAATTTACCCTTAATAGAGCTGGGTTTTTACATAGCATTTATTCTATGTTGAGTTGGAGTGAACATTTTGAAAAATTATAATTTGCCTTTGCTAGATTTTTTTTATAGGATAAGGGTGATAAATGAGCACGCAGTCCACCTGATGGTAAGTGGTTGCTGTGGTCCATAAACATCTACACCTATCCTCGATTACGTATCAAAATTTTTGCGCGTTGCACGCATTGTCACCCGTGAGAACTAAGATGGAATGCCTCGTTTCCAGTAAAAAGGGTCTCTGGTTTTTTACACTCACCATAAGAAACACAGCAGCATTAAGCTGCTATTTTACGCTGGTATTCTGTGAGAGGCGTGGTCCTTCCCCGGTCGAGCCGACCTACTGGTGCTACAACTATACTTCTAATATACCGAGCTGCAGCATGGCTCTACCATGTAGTGGTAGTTAATTTTGCTGTTTAGTGTAATGAGACAATAGAGCTTACATCTAGACAACTTGTCCCGTAGGTGTGACTAAGGAATAATCGAAGAGAATTTCATTGTATTCGACAGATAGTGAAATAATATTTTGATAATTGCAGTACAAATAAATAACGGAGAGCTACATCTGAAATCTCGACACAGAAAATCCTATATACAGCCTGTTTTAGACCAGCGGACACCTACAGCAAAACAGAGTAAGAATTGCCATCAGAAGGTGGTTTCCCGAGAATCAATCCTTTGAAATTGGATAAGAAAATAAATAGCAACGGAAATAAATGACATAAAAAGGCACGTGGCGGGTCACTGGTGACAAACACGACGCGGCTTCCGACGCCGATGCGATATTTCGACACGCCTCGCCATTAACGCCGCTAGTACAGTCGCCCTGATGAATATGGAAATAGTATTATTTAAATAACTAGCAATCCACCCCGGCTTTGCCTGGGCAATTTTAAATACATGTATTAATTTGACGTTATTTAGATTTAGAATTTACTTTATCAATTTTTCGGTTTTAAAAGTTCAAGTTTTTCGGATAAAATATTGACTAGATCACTCCTAGCACTTCTCTCTATCTAGCTTGCTACATATATATTTATCTATGTCTCTATCTGTGCGTAAGGTTTCATCACACTTGGTTCATGCTATTCTGGAGGTTAACTCGGACAGACGACAGACAAACATTTTACAAATGGTTTTCATGTCCTCAATCCCCTGAGCAAGGCGCTTGGGACTCCTTGAACAAGGTCGGAAATATACCTTTGTGAAAACAAAGACTAACTATATGACAGAGAACTGGTACAATTTCTACTCTTGCAAGTTTTA